AAATAAATAAATAAATAAATAAATAAATAAATAAATAAATAAATAAATAAATAAATAAATAAATAAATAAATAAATAAAAATACCTCTATTCTTATACAGGGTGTAACTCCTACCCACTTGAACATCTTGAACCAAAAAACATTAAGAATTTCTTGCATTCCCCATTCAGTTCCAGTTTACTCATTTGTGATTATTAAATACTGTTTTAAACTTCAGCAGCATCTGCCATTGAGGCTAGATTTTGTATTAACAATGATTCCCACAGAGGAACCAGAGGTTGTTGTGATTTATGTATCTGAACTGTTTTTTTCCAGGCTTGTATGTCAGTACTCCAAATTAATAAAAGAAAATGTAATTATAAAGAGAATTGAACTCGTTTGTTTGGATTAATCAAACGTAATGATTAGTCTTCCTAAATATAGCAGCTTAAAATAGATTTTATCAGTCACATAGGCTCTGACATGGGAGTTAGTCTTGACTCTTGAGACCCAACAGCTAAAAATAAAGTACCAGGCACTGAATGCCACCCACTAAGTCTGTTATTCCAGAGTTTAGTGATAAGCAATAATTTTCTTGATCATGATCTGCATCTATTTGAATGTAAAAGAGCTGTGTGAGGTTTAATGTGTGTGTAATTTATGTTTTTTCATTATTTCCAGGCTGAGGGACAGGGTCACAGTTAAAACAGGTCCACGCCACATCGTACGTGAGACAACGGATGGGACGTTTGAGATGAAGATCAAGTCGGCAGTGAGATCAGACTCTGGAATTTACACCTGCAGGATCATTAATGAATACGGGACGAAGCAGTGTGAAGGGAGACTGGAGGTGAAAGGTACGAGGGCCTCAAGACTTCAGATATGTTGAAACCAAAACAGAAAATGTATGTTTTTACTTTTCCAGCTTTCTGGGTTTCCTTTCATTTGAATAAATCATTCACCTACTTTTTGTCACAATTCGTTAACAATAAATAAAAATGATCACTTCTTGGGCATAATGCCCACCACATTTCACACAAGGGTTTTAAACTTACATCTTCCTATATTGGAAAAATGTTTGAGTTAAAGTGAATTAAGTTAGATCTTTAAAATAATGTGCCTAACTTCAGGCAATATTATGAATTCTTGTGCATTTTTTTTTTTTAGCATTTTGCAGTATGAGTTGAAAATGACTGTCAGCTATTAACATATTTTATCTCAATATGTGCAACACTGACTGAATTATAGACAATTTTGGCTTGACTAATGTCAGTTAAACGTAGCAGCCATAAAAAAAAGTGGCAGCCATTTTGAATTGGATTGACTTTGAATGGCAGTCAGTGGTAGACACATATTCTGAAAGTTGTATTAAAATATGTCCAGTGGTTTATGAGATATGTTGCAAATTGACAATGTTGAATCTAATAGCTTATGGCAAAGTTTTAAACAAAGATCTTGGTCTGTCAATACTCAGGGTTTGTGTTGGGGAGGACTCTAAGCTACTGCCGCTTCAATTTTTTGTTCAATATCCAATAACAATAACAATACAGCGAACAACAGCAGCACGAACGTAGATGTGCAACAATGGTTACTTTCTGAGAGTTTTCTTTAACTATGTTCAACGGTTCATTTAACTATTTATTCACCTAAAAATGTCAATTTTGTTTGTAACAACACAACTTTTTAGATATTTTTTAAAAACGCTCTTCAGAAAATGCTCTTTTATTTTCTGTCCAGCCACTCCAATTGAGCCTGGTCTGGCTGTCATTCGCCCAGTGAGGGACATCACGGCGAAGGCCGGGGAGACGGTTCTGTTCGAGTGTCATGTGATTGGGCCTAAGGATACTGATGTGGACTGGCTTGCAGATGGGAAGTTGATCCAGCCAGCGCTACTTAACTGTAAGATGCACTTTGATGGAAGGAAGTGCAAACTGCTGCTCAATTCAGTTCATGAGGACGACAGCGGGACTTACACGTGCAAGCTCAGTACTGCTAAAGGTAGGTCCCAGGAAAAGATTATCATTATAAGAGTGCTATTAAACCAGAATTTTCAAACATTGTTTGGTTTATCCATTCTTGTTTTATTCCAATTGTAGAGGAAGTGACATCATGTGGTAAACTCAAAGTCATTCCATCCCTCGAGCCTCTCTTCACTCGTAACTTGGACATTCTGGAAGTGATTGAGGGTCGGAATGCTCGGTTTGACTGCAAAGTCAGTGGAACGCCTCCTCCTAAGGTCATCTGGAGTCACTTTGGTAAGACAATACTCACTGACTTATCAACTAGAGTAGATTTATTTAATTACCTGTTCATCTGAATAATAAACCCAGGCCTGTCAGAGACCCCATGCCGCAATTAGACTGTAATATTTGTCCTATTCTCTTCAGACCAACTGCTCGTTGAAAGCGAAGACATCCATGTTCTGCAAGAGGGTGGTCGCCATTCTCTGATTATTTCCCATGTGACCAGCGATGATGAGGGTTTCTACACGGTCAGAGCCCGTAACAGCCACGGTGAGGCGGAGAGCTCCGCAGAACTCTACATACAAGAACCCCGGCCAGCCATCTCCTCTCAGATGTAAGAGGGTGTTCCTGTTTCCTGCGCTGGTTGCAAACCTTTCCGGAGCCCATAATGCTTTGTATTCAAACCCTGTTTCTCCCTGCCTTCAGGGCTAAACTGGAGAAGATGCCGTCCATCCCAGAGGAACCAGAGGTGCCAGAGAATGAGGTGGAGAGATTTACGATGCCTGACTTCATTAAGCCCCTTTACGACCTGGATGTGATTGAGGGAAAGGAGGCTGTGCTTAAATGTAAAGTGGCTGGTTTGCCCTACCCAACCATCGTCTGGTTCCATAACGGCAAAAGGATTGAAAGTACAGAGGACAGAAAGATGACACAGTGTAGGTGTCTCACACTGGACGAACAATCACATGATGTACAACCCAAACACTTAAATATTTTAAAAAACATTTATTACAGCCTATAATACAACTAATTACAGCTAAATGTATTAGAAAAGTGAATATTTGAACATACAGAAGCAAAATAAGGACTATCAGTACTTGTGTTTATAGTCTTTGTTGTAGCTGTACTACCAATGAATATTTTATGAGTTTCATTAAAATGTGTGCACCAGTTGATGAGATGTTTTGTTGACATAGCAGACAAATGAACACATGCATATACACAGGCGGTTACAATATAACATAAAATTATAAACATTTTCTTTAAAAGCTGCACTGCAAATAAATAAATAAAGAAAACAATCCTAAAATATCAGAGAGTCAGAGATACTTTATTGTCATTCGCACCACATGTGGTACATGTGGTGGAGCAAAATTATGTACACAGGGGCCCAGTTACATCCAACAATAAAATGTAAAAGAAAAACAATGATAACATCTAAGATGTGAACTAAGAAAAACATCAGCTAAAAATACACTAAGCACTAATAGCATAAAAACATTACGTCGAACAGCAGCACGAACATGAGCATGAGTCAGTGTGAGCAGATGAGCACGCATGAACACTTCAACATGAAACAGATCAGCAGCAACATTGAAAGAGATCAGCAGCAACATGATATGTTGATAAATATGAATACTTTCACAAAATTCTATGACGTACTCACAGCTTTTGTCCTCTATAGTTGTGACATTTTTAGACAATAGCAAAAGCTTAACTTATTTTGGACAATAACATAATATTTGGCTACGTAATGAATAAAGTTAATTTTGCTGAAGAAAAATGGAATTACTTCAGGCGGGGCTGAAAAATACTGTTAACAATCTGCCGCCATCTTGCACTCTTCGAAAAGTGGAATTATTTCATTGCAGTTTTCAGTTTCAGGTGGCATTGACACATTATGTAGATGAAGATTAAATCCCAGATCATCCCACTGAAAAAAAACTAACAAAACTTTACCTCCTTTCTTTTGTTCACTCTGCAGTTCATGACGTCCACAGCCTGGTTATTCGCTCCGTGTGCCACGCTCATGCTGGCGTCTACAAGAGTGTAATCTCTAATAAAGTAGGAAAAGCCACCTGCTACGCACATCTCTACGTAACAGGTAATTCCTTTCTCCTTTTCAACAGATATGCAGAGTACCATAATAAATATTTAATGCCTACATACATTTGGTCAAAAATACACAGGAGCTACAATCCTCAGGTTATTCCATGTAAGATACATTTTTGTTATGATTTTCAGACATCCTCCCTGACCCCCCTGATGGCACTCCAGTGATTGAGTCCATCACTGGTAAAACCATCACTTTGAGCTGGAAGAAACCAAAACGGCTGGACCCTTCCATTGGTATGTACTTATTGCCTGCCAGAAGGAAAGGTGGGCAATCATGTAATTCCTTGTGGATGCATGTGCATTTGTTTGTTTGTTAGTAAATATGTCATAAACCTCTGGACAGATTTCAGTAACACTTTCAGAAAGTAATCGATGGTTGTACATCAACAACTTATTAAGAATTAGAGTCACCCAAAGTCAAGATGGCCACCACAGGAAATTGACATTATCAGTCTGAAAAAAGCTGTTGGGACACTGAGCTAAAGTTCGAAGCGATAGTAGCAGAGACACAACTCCTTTAGACATTCAAAGATTAGCAGATTGCACAAAATTGTGTTTAATACTTTGAAATTAGGTGTTTGAGTCAATCTTGTTTGTCTGTTGGTAAAATATCTCTGGAATCCCTGAACAAATTTTAATGAAACTTCAGAAAATAATTGTTGGATGTACATCTAAAACCAAAACAAACCAAACCTCCAAATCTGAGGCCATGGTCTTCAGTCAGACAAGGGTGGCTTGTTCTCTTGAGGTTGGGGGTGAGGTTCTGCCTCAAGTGGAGGACTTCAAGTATTTTGGGGTTTTGTTCATGAGTCAAGGAAGAATGGATTGTGAGATTGACAGATGGATTGGTGCAGTGTCTGCAGTATTGCAGATTCTGTACCGGTCCGTTGTGGTGAAGAGGGAGCTGAGCTGTAAGGCAAATCTCTGTTTACCGGTTGGTCTACATTCGTATCCTCACCTATGGTCATGAGCTCTGGGTAGTGACCAAAAGAATGAAATGAGTTTCCTCCGCAGGGTAGCTGGACTCTCCCTTAGAGATAGGGTGAGAAGTTCAGTTAGCTGAGAGAGACTCAGAGTAGAACTGCTACTCCTCCACATCGAGAGGAGCCAGTTGAGGTGGTTCGGGCATCTGGTAAGGATGCCCCCTGGTCGCCTCTCTAGAGAGGTGCTTTGAGCATGTCTGACTGGGAGGAGACCCCAGGGAAGACCCAGGACATGCTGGAGAGGCTATGTCTCTCGGTTGGCCTGGGATCACCTTGGAATCTTCCCAGAAGAGCTGGAAGAGGTGGTTATGGAAAGAAATGTCTGGGACTCCTTGCTCAAGCTGCTGCCCCTGCGACCCAACTTTGAAACAAGTGGAAGATAATGGATGGATGGATACATCTCAAACCAATACATGATTGGTGTCAACTTAGTTCGAGATGGTCATAACATCTAATCAGTCTTAGCATACACAAAAATGGATAACAGATATTGAGATAACACTTGGTATAACATAAACTAAGAAGCATTTGAGTGCTAACAGAGCTTTGTTTACATATGTGGCATTACAAAGAAGTGGGTGAAATGCATTACTTCAAAGAACGTTAGTTTTATTGTATTAAAAAAGCAAAAAAATAGTGTAAAGCATGAATCTCACCTAGCACACTTTCATGTAAAACAGTAATCTAAGCTAAACCAAGTAAATGAAATGATGAATGCAGAGAAATGAGGTTCTCCTGGGTGTGATGAGGATGGCACGGTATCACAGTTGGTAGAACTGCTGCCTCTCAGCAAGCAGATCACCGGTTCAAATCCTGGACAGGAGCCTTTCTGGGTGGAGTTTGTATGTTCTCTCTGCATGAGTGGGTTTTCTCTGGATACTCCAGTTTCCTCCCACAGACCAAAAAAACATCCATATTAGGCTGATTGGTAACTCTAATTCGTCCCTAAGTGTGAGTGAGTGAATGGTTGTTTGTCTCTGTGTCCCTGTGATGGACTGGAGACCTGTCCAGGGTGTCCCCCACCTTTCACACAGTGATGGCTGGATATGCGCAGCAGTGACCCGAAAAGAAAGAAGGATGTTTGGATGGATGGATTGGTGTGATGAGATGTGAAATAAAACCTTTTTCTTCTTATAATGTTTTTAAGAATCATGTTTGATTTAAAAGTCATTTCCTTTCAGACCCCAGTTCCCTGATGTATGCCATCCAACAACAAGCCCTTGGCTCCATCCAGTGGATTATTATAGCCTCTGGTTTGAAAGAGACCACCTTCACCATTACAACCCTCTCCAAGGGGGTTCGCTATGCTTTCAGGGTACTGACCATCACTTCCAAGGCCTTCAGCAAGCCCTCACCTGCCACAGATCCTGTGCAGCTTGTGGACCGAGGTAGACTCAGGCTTTTAGAGAACCCAGTCATTCCTTCATATGGACTTTTAAACAGATATTTTTGTTGTTAGGGCCCTACCTTCAGGAGGCTCCAATGATTATGGATAAACCAGACATTGTGTATGTGATTGAAAACCAGTCCGTCACTATCTCTATTACCCTCAATCATGTCAACTCTGCAGTCACTTGGAAGAGGTATTTATGTTTCCTTAATGTACGTTAAAAAAAGTGTATTTTTTATCTCTAATTAAAAGAACATTGTGCTAAAATTCTTGTTTTCACATTTCACATTACATTTGTTATTGTACAAAAACAATATTTTTATTTAGTAATTCTGAATATAAATAATCCACTTTTTAGATTTCATGCACATATTCAGTGTATTCACTCAGGAAAATAGTTATTTCAAATGATTTTTAATTATTACAAAGCGATAAAACAAATTTTTTTTGTTAGGTCCTGACTCTCATGAACAGACTTCTGCTTGACCTCCTCTAAGCTCACCAATGTTGGTTCAAAACATATTTGTCTCCAGGAAAGGCGTGACCTTGGCCAACAAACCGAGCCTGTTTCAAATGACCATGCCAGATGACAACCAGCACACGCTGAAGCTGCTGAAAGTGAAGAGTTCCGACGTTGGTGAAATGACCTTTTTGGCCACCAATGAATATGGAAGTGACAGCTGCACCTTCACTGTGGAGCTCGCAGGTAGGAAGAAGACCTGTTTGGTGAGGTTTCCATGCCTTTTCTGTATGAATTTTATATATCTATTTTTGTTTCATCTTGCAACTATATCCACAGTTCCACCAACATTTGAGACCATCATGGAGGACCTGGATGTTTGTGCAGGGGAGACGCCTCGCTTTGCTGTTGTTGTTGAGGGCAAACCCATTCCTGACATTCTCTGGTTCAAGGTTTTTATCCATTTCTGCTGCAGACGTATTATTTTTACATTGTCAAACAAATGTTTTAAGTATGGTAAGAAAAATTAAACCCACACCAAATAGATCAAACAAACGTAATTTAAAAAAGTGGAAATCATTCAATATTTAATAATTGTTGGAGTTAAGAATTTAAAACTGCAACTCAGAAAAAGAGCCTTTATGGTGGCAGAAATGTGAAGGGGGTAGTATCATGATTTGGGCCTTTTTGATTATATCTGGTTATTGATCTATGATAAAATAAAATAGAAGGAATTACACTGGCTTGCTCGTAGATAAAATCAGAAAAAGTTAATTTTCTGTTGGGCAGCGTGGCAGCACAGTGGTTAGATTGGTTGCCTCTCAGCAAGAAGGTCCCAGGACTGTTTCCCAGCTGGGGGCCTTTCTAGGTGGAGTTTGTACATTCTCTCCGTGCATGTGTGGGTTTTCTCCGGGTACTCTGGTTTCCTCCCACAGACTAAAAACATGCATGTTAGGTTCATTAGCAACTCTAAATTGTCCCTATTTGAGAGTGACAGTCGTTTGTCTCTACGTGTCCCTGTGATGTACCGGAGACCTGTCCAGGGTGTCCTCCGTCTATTGCACATTGACTGTTGGAGACAGCTCCTCTGTGACCCGTAGAGGAGAAGCAAGTAAATGGATGGACTTTTCTGGATGCCGAGTCCTGAATGAATTTGCTGAAACTTGTTGAAGTTAAATTTAGAACAGAAGCTAAAATCAGCAAAACTACAACTAAACTAAAAACTTAAAATTGCTAAATTATTGATGTAAGCTACAATTAACAAAACAGTTGCCAAAAGCTAAATTCAGTATCATAACAGCTAAATCTTAAAAATAGCACAACAGTAGCTAAAAGCTAAAATTAGCTAATAATATTCATATGCAGAAATGTTCAAATCAGTAGCTAAAAACTAACCCTAATTTAAAGCTAAATATAACTAAACCAAAGCTGAAAGCTAAACCTAACAAGACAGTAGCTAAAAGTAGCACAGGAGAAGTAGCAAAATAGAGCAAATATGCTGAAATAGAGCTCAGTGAACAATATTTTTAAAGGATGTAAAGAGATCTCATTGTATTTCTATGTAAAAACTTTTTAGATAAAGTAAAAAAATTCAAAAATAATAAAGTTATGAATAATAAAACTCATAACATAATATTCTCAATCCAACCTAATTCATTCAACCTTTATTTATACTGGTTAGTGTTCTGAATTATGATTTATTCAAATATTACAACATATGCAGAAGTACAACAGCTTAATTGCAAATAGTTCAAACAATTGTATCAAATATTATGACAGTTGATCATGAAAATAATCTAAAATAAAAGTTAAACAATTAAAAAGTCCATAATCATGAGTTTAACAGTCTTTTGACCAAAATGATCAATTATAAATACCTTTGGGACAATCAAATGGCCGTTTTTATTCAACAAAAACTATAAAGAAACACCAGAAGTGTGCAGATCAAACACATCATTTTGTAATTATGATGTAATATTTTGCATATATTTGCGAACGTATAAATTTAAGGTGTTCTAATTGTTTCCTTACGTTGCATTATAAGAGTCAAACTTTAAACTTTTGTTTGAGAATTGCTTGAAAATCCCTGCCTTTGCTTGCAGGCTGATGTGCTGCTGTCTGAGAGCAGTCACTACACGTTTGTGTATGACGATAATGAATGTTCCCTGGTGGTTCTGAACGTTCGTCCAGACGACTCCGGGGTCTACACCTGCACTGCTCGGAACTTAGCAGGATCTGTGTCCTGCAAAGCTGAACTCACTGTTCATAAAGGTACGCCCAGATCTTCTGAAGACCTCTCCTAGAAACAAACAGTGGATTTGCATGAACACAAATGTGTTAGTTAGTTAGTTAAGAGTTTTTTTTTTAATGGAATTGATTGCACAGATTTTATTTATATGTTCCTGCTCTAATATTACAGCCAAGAGTAAAGAGGAGCCAGTGGATGATGAGCAGGCTTTTCTCAGGAAAATGCGCAGACTGACCAACTATTATGACATCCACAAGGAAATCGGAAGGTAGAGTAAACTGTTTGAGCTGAAATAAAACATACAGCTGCAATGCCATCTGCTTGTTTGTCTCTGTCATTTAGTTCAAACATAAAAAGTGTTAAAGTAAAGCTGAAGTTTTTTTTTTTTTTTATCTGCAGAGGTGCATTTTCCTACGTGAAACGTCTGACACACAAGACGAGCAAAATGGAATACGCTGCCAAATTCATCTCCACTCGGGCCAAGAAGAAAGAATCTGCTCTGAGAGAGATGAAGATGATTTCCAAGCTGGACCACGAAAGAGTCATCTACTTTCACGACGCCTTTGAGAAGAAGAACACCGTCGTCATCATCACAGAAATGTATCCTTATTGAACAGTTCGAACACAGAGGTTGATTCAAATGATTCAACCAGCTTTAGAAAATAAGACAATAAAGAATGAATCCAAAGATTATGTAAAATATTGAATTCTAATGTATCAGTAAATAAAAATAAAGTATAAAATTAATGTAACTGAACAAGATCCTTAATTAATTTTCAAAGATGCCAAGAGGAGTTGCTGGACAGATTTACAAGAAAATCCACAATAATGGAGTCTGATGTGAGTGCTTTGTTTAATAACTTCAAATTTGCCCTTTTTTGTTCCAGTATTAGATAAAATTGGAAATATATTCTTGAATGTAAATGCAATATATTATATAATTGGTGCAAACATCTTAAGTTTGTCTTTACTGTTTGTATTTTCCTCCAAAAGAGCCAGACATTGCTGTAGTTCTTAAAATAGTCTCAAAAATAGTTCTACTGTATAGTCCAATAATGGTCAAGCAGTTCATCTGGACAGTTTCTTTTTTGTGGAAAGACGTTTCACCCTCTATCCGGAGGGCTTCATCAGTCTGAGGAGTCCCAAGTAAACTGTTTTCCCCACTAAACAGTACACTTTCCACAGTATTTGTACAAAAAAGAAACTGTCCAAATGACCTGATTGACCATTATTGGATTTTGTACCTGGATGATTGAGCATGAACGTTGATGTTCTGTTGTATAGGTTTCCTGAAGGTGCTTAAAAATGTTATTTGGACATTAACTGTAGCCTTTTTCATTCAGTCCTATATCTTAGCTTGTTTTTTTCTGTTTATTCGTTTATTTTTCTTTTTAAATGTACAAACAAGCATAGACGAAAAAGTAGCAAGATTATTCACTATCGCCAAGAGATGGGAAATATCTGAAAGTTGGACACGTGTTGAGAGGACTCTCAGCTACTATCAAACCAAAATTTAGGTCGATGTCTATAAATCCGAGTCATAGCCATCTTTATTAAGACGGATTGGCTGTGGCAGCCATTTTGAATTGTGTTGACTCTAAAAATAATCTATATAAATAAATGCACATCCAAATATTACTTTCTTAGAGGTTCCTTAAAATGTGTTTTATGAAATGTGTTGCTAACAGACAGAAAAATATAAACTCCCAGGCTGTTGCATGACTGCCCACTTTATATAGAGTGAGTAATACTCACAAGAAAGTTTAGCTCTTTGGAGGTACAAGAAGAGGTTGCAACTTCTGCTCAGTCCTGTTTTCGGTTCATCAGGTACGGTCATGCATGAGACAGCTGCTGGAGGGTGTGGACTATCTTCATCATCTAAACATCATACACTTGGACATAAAGGTAGACTCTTACCAACACTTTCATTATCATTAGATTCAAATAAATATTGCAAATATTTCTACAAATCAAATTATTCTTTCAGCAGAACTATTTTATTTCTGTGTATTTGTTTGTCGTCAGCCCGATAACATCCTCATGTCAGACCTCCAAAGTGATCAGATTCGACTATGTGACTTTGGGAATGCGGTGGATCTCACCCCCGACGAGGCTCAGTACTGCAAATATGGCACACCAGAGTTTGTCGCTCCAGAAATTGTCAATCAGACTCCGGTTTCAAAAGCTACAGACATATGGTAGAGTCCCTGCCTTTGATTTTTAATGATTATTTTTGTATGATTTTTAAAGTATTTTCTTCTTTTTCCCTAGGTCTATAGGAGTTATAGCATACTTGTGGTGAGTTTTTATTGAACTGTTAGTTCTAGACATGTTTTACGACTTCCTGTGCATTCCTGATGAAATGTAAGTGTTTGTCTCCATTACAAGTCTGACAGGGATTTCTCCATTTGCCGGGGAAAATGACCGGAGCTCGGTGCTGAACATCAGGAACTATAATGTGGCTTTCGAGGAGAACATGTTTGCCGACCTTTGTCGAGAGGCGACAGGCTTCATCATAAAGCTGCTGGTGGCAGACAAGCTGTGAGCAACATTTCTCATCACCATTAGTTTTTATCTGTTATTGAAAATGATTGCAGACATTGGTGCAATGACTTTAAGAAATACACAACAACAACAACAATATTAACAATATTAATAATCATAATCTGTCACTTACAATGTTGGATATTCTACAAATATCAAACTTGTACGTTTTTGTTTTTTAATCCAGTGGTTACCATGTAAACTGATTACAATCGTGCAAGCGTCTGTGTCTAGATCCTTAAAGTTTTCCTCGATAAGTAAACAGTGTTTCTGATATTTAAAGGTTATAGATAATTACCCAGTCCTTCCCAGGTTTTTCAGACTTTGCTTGAGATTCTTGTGATCTAAAATGTCAAAGTTTACAGCAGTTTTTTTTTTTTTTTTTGAACATTGCAATCAAGTTTGCAATGTTTTGAACCTGTATTTGTTCGGGCAAGAGCAAATAAATTTACAAATTTAGCTGAAAGATTTTTTTATTTAACATTTTCTAAAAAGGCAAAGGATTTCTACAATAATAATGTTTCAAAGTTCCAATAACACATCTGCATAGAACCATATTTACTGTCACTGAACAGTTTGTATACATCAAGATTACTTGTTGTTGTCACTTTTCACTTATTAGCCTGTTTTGGAGTAGAAAAGCAATAGTCAAACATCATTTTTGTACTATTTTCCAACACAAAATTGAACATAATGCAAAGTAATTTTCTACCACTTTCCTGTATTACATCAGGAAATGGACATCAGACACGTTTCTATATTGCAGGCTCCATGAAGTAAGACCACGCATAGGTGATTGGCACATTTAAAAAAAAAAAAAAAGTTGGGTCCATATTGTAAATCTAGGGTCAAATTAGTGTGGATAGGTTGTTTGTAGTGATAGCTAGGATTACAACATTGCCACTTCCTGGAGAATCTAATTAACATTCATAGCCAGCTAGATAGACAAAAGTGTACCGGGCCATTTTCTTTCTGTTGATACTCTTTTTCTTACATATAATATAAAACTAAAAAAAAATTATTTCAATAATAGAGTTCTTATTGAAAAAAAATTACAAAAAGCCTGGCATTTCTTTATTTTTTTTAGGAGACCTGATACTCAGGAATGCCTCAGACATCCTTGGTTCAAGGTAAGCAAAAGCCAGATAATCATCCAGTGGATTCCATATGAGAATATTAATCCCAGTGCTTAACTGCTTATTCCTAAATTTAATGTCTAATCATTGTATAGGTACTTAGCAAAGGGACAGCTATAAGTACTGAAGCCTTAAAAAAGTTTGTATCTCGCAGAAAATGGCAGGTGAGTGATTTTTTTCTTGTCTTTTCTATGTTCTATTAAACACAAAAAATGTTTGGAAAATATAATATATTGTGATTACTTTTTTAGCGTTCCATAATCAACTATAAATCAAAAATGTTTATGAGATCCATACCAGAGTTGCTAAGGGATTCCTCCAGCCATACCTCCATTGCGGTTCCAAGGCACATGAAAGATGGCTCACCTTTGCCATCATCGTCTTCAGATTCTGATGAAGACATTGATGAACTACCTTTTATTCCTATGCCACTTAACATGGATTTCTCTGGGTCAAGGGTGTCATTGACTGACATTCAGACCAGTGAGCAGCAAACAGGGAAGCAGAATGAAAAAAATAAATGGTCTGGAGCACCCACACAAGTCCAGGAGCCTATGGAGTGTGATCCTAAAGAACTGGAAAAAGAAGTTGAAATATCACGTAAAGGCCGACTTCAGAGAAAGTCATCAGAAGACAATGACAAGGGTTTTTCTGAAGAATCAGCTGCTGAATTGCCCCAAAAATCAGAGCTGTCAAGAAAACCACTTAAAAGAGGATCAAGCATGGAGTCTGACAGAACAGAAGGAGCACGGCGACGAGGAGAACTAAGACGTGGTGGTTCAGCTGACAGTGCCTTGTTGCTTCGAATTACACCTGAGGAAGGAGCTGGAGAAGAAAACAACGAAGATGGTCGTAGAGTTCTGAAAAAAGCTGTATCAATGGAACTACCAAAAAGGAGCACTAGTCCAGGAACAGCAAAAATGAGCCAAGAAGACTATGCTCTAAAACTGGAGCTGATGAGACAGAGACTGCTGCGTGGTGGCAATGTAGACAACAAGATGAGTGGACTGAGAGGACCTCTTTTAGAAACTTTGGGAATGGGAGATGAAAAACGAACAATATCATCTGATCGCTACTCTCGTACTATTCGCGTGGGCCCACCTCCGCTCACTAGGGCTGCATCCAGTGATTTTCCAAGAGATGAAGTACCTAAACCCAAAGTTTTACGTAAAAGTACCTCTTTCAGTCAGGGGGATTCAGAACCAATTGCTTTACACCGACGGTTAGGGGCTCCTCTGGAGATTCCTGTAGCAAAATTAGAAGAACGAAGGCTCAAGGAGGCTATATCTATGTCAGCTCTGACAGAGCAAACCAAGATAGATTCCCGTCCAGAGACACCAAGGGAACCTTCTCCAAAACCTCCAATTCCAGAGTCTGTTGTTCAAGAAAGTCCAGCCAAAACAGAAAGTCAAGACTCACTAATGGAGAAGGAGATAAAACATGATGAGACTATGACTGAAAAGATGGAAGGGCTGGCTGCAGATAGCAATTTTGATGAAAGATCGAGTACAAGTGGATTTTCAGAGAGGGACATGAGTATTTCAGAAGAACCTTTAACTGAATCAGATAATGTGGGCCAGAGAATTCCTACCCCCACTCATATAGCACAAAGCTCTAAAGAAGAGAAAATGGAAGAGGAGCAAGAAAGAGAAAAAATGCAGGAAGAGAAAAAATTCATAAAAGAAGAAGAAAGAGTTGATCATGTTGTTGAATCAAACACAAAAGAAAGTGCAGAGGATGTAAATCATGAAGTGTATGCAGAAGAAACAGCAAGTATCCCACTAAAGTCTTCTGAAATTACCATAACCACAAGCTCAGTTATGGTGAGATCATCACAAGAACAGATCCACCCCTCCAGTAACGTGACTTCAGCATATATAACACCCTCCATGACTCCACAAGTTGTTCTTCCAGATGGGAGAAAGTCTGCATATGCCAGTATAATGCAGACCATCATGGTTCCCTCACTCCAACCTCTCAATGAGCCACCTCTTGTACCCTCCTCACCTATCATTGTCCCAAATACTGCTGAAGCTTCTTCCCAATTGAAAATGCCACCTGATTTAGCTAGTTCACTAAAACCCATCATTGTATCAACCACTGAACACCCTGCAGTTTATTCAAGAGTAGCATCACCAGAAATGATCACCAAAGAACCCAGTCCACCAAAGACTTTTACACAGTCCTCATCTCAGCAAGAAGTTTCAGTAGGTCCAGACATAGAAGACATGACATCTGAAGAAGTATTTCAGACCCGATTCAAAAAGCGGGAATCTTCACTCTCAAGAAGTCTGAAATTTCTGTCACGATCAAAGGATGACAGGCCACAGGCTACATCATTAGGCTCTACAGAGAAACTAGAGGAAATCTACAGGCCTGGGCCCATTGGTGCACCTTTGGAAGTTGCATCAAGGAGACTTGAGGAAAAGTCCAAGTCAGTCCAAGACCTTCGTGAAGCTGAAAAAGATCAAGGCTTTATGAGAAGGCTTTCCATGCGTTTGAAGAGAACTCCATCAACAGAGCGCAAAGAGGAAATATCAAAAGAGGACAATTCAGCTGGTTCGAGACGGAGGCTATCTTGGACTCTGGGCAGAAAAGGCTCTCAGGAAAAGAAAGACACAGAGCTAATGCGAATGGATGGAGAAGGTGATAGATTGGCAGAACATGAAGAAAAGGAACTGAAAAAACCTAATGAATCCCCAGTGTTGGCAATGCGCAGGAAGATTGAATCAACAGTGGCTGGGATATCCACAAGAATCCGCAGTTACTCTGAGGAAAGAAAAACGTCAGAGGAGAAGGAATCAAAAAGAACACCCATTCTGTCAATGCTTCGTCGGTCAGCATCAGAGATCAGAGCTCCAAGAGTTACCAATGTTCCTCAGAACCAGCTTGCATCTCAGGCCAGTAATGGGGCCTCATCGGAGTCACTAGACTCTATGTCGAGCCTAAAATCAGAAACATTGAAAGGTATGCGCCAATACTGCAGCTTCATCATATTTGGTTTAAAAAAAAAAAGTTAAAACAACTTATCTGTGAAATTATTTTTATTTTGTTTGATTTTTGTAAAGGAGTCGAGGTTGAGCGTAGATCTCGCTGGGATCGATGGGGCCTAACAAGAGGGAAACGAGATAAAACAGTATCACAACCTGATATACCAACAGCAATTTCCAGAGACAGCAGTTCTTCACGTTCACAACAGTACTGCAAACTGGTTTCTGGTAAGATTACTATAGCTTTCTTTATTCTTACATAATTGTTGTTGTAGTTGTTATTGTTTTTTTACATCCATCAATACGCCTTCTAACCCCTACATAACCAATAACTAGTTGAGCAAGTTTGATTTAGTATTAGCAACATATTTATAGTTGTTTGCTAATGTCTGCAAAAGAGTCAAAAGTCAAGCAACTGCAGCAATCCAAATGGTGAAGATTATGTAGCTGAAGTGTTAAAGCAAATTAATTTTAATGTTTACATAACCTAAGTGCTAAGATTAATTTATGCGGGATGGAGTTCTGTTTACTGTACATTGTTGGGGTTTATCAGTCAAGGGATGGTGTTTAAATAAACTCTGTATGTCAAATGCAGCATATTATCATTTAACCACTTAATAATCATGCATTTTATGCCTAAATTTATATTACATATTTACAAAGCTATAAAAAAAAATCATATTGTGATGGAAGATGTAATTAGGCTTCACTGAAAAGACTTTTACATAACTGGGAAATAAAACCGTAATATTTAATATGACCAATTATAATACAGTATAGATGTAAGTTAATTGGTGTAATTTGTTTGAATGCCAGACTTTCCTCCGGTATTCCACATCAAGTTAAGGGATCATGTTCTTCTGGAAGGCGATCCAGTGACACTCAGCTGTCTGCCTGCAGGAAGCCCCCACCCATATGTCACCTGGTTGAAAGGTAGTGCCTTAAAAAAAAGCAGTATACCCAATAGTAATGAAGGTTATAAAAACAAAATATGTTTCAATTTTTCTCATTGTCTTCCTCAGACAAGAAATCCCTGGAGATTGATTCCAGAATGAATATGATTTCCTGCCCTGACGGCCGGCAGCTGCTGATGATCATGCACACAACAAAAAAAGATGCAGGGGTCTATGAATGTGTTGCTACAAACCCCCTGGCCTCTGTGTCCAGCTCTTGCACAATATCACTTGCTCGTAAACCCAAATACATTTCCCTAAATGCATGTCAATGAAATTAAATTAAACATGACAAAACAATAAATATTTGCAATTGAATAAATACCCTTGTCATGTGAACTAATAATAACATAATATGTTTTTACAGGACTGCCCAATCGTCCTGGTACCCCAGAAATTCCTCAAAAGTATAACAACACAGCTTTGGTGGTGTGGAGACCTTCAGATACTATGGCCCCATGCACATACTCTCTGGAGAGAAAAACAGAAGGTACATTTATGACTGACTGTTTCAACACTTTCAAATGGCTGCACATCTTTTACAAGCATTTAACAAAATTGACTTACTTAAAACAAACAAAAAAAGTGGTTTGTGAATTGCATTGCCAAAGGTTTCCTTAGGGAATTGCTCATATTTTACCATTAAAAAAAACATATAAATAAATATTTCATCTACTGTGTTTTAGGTGAAAACAACTGGCTAATTGTTGCCACTGGAGTGGCAGACTGTTACCACAATGTGACTGACCTGCAAGCAGGGGGCGCCTTCAGGTTCAGGGTGGCATGTGTCAACAAAGCGGGTCAGGGCCCTTACAGTAACATGTCAGATGTAGTGAGATTGGATTCCACAGGTATGTACTTTGCCAATGTAGTTATTTGAAAGTATCAGAGCATGTTTCCAAAACACATTACGTCATGGTTTAAATTTGATTGGTATGTTGTATCTAAGATGAATAAATATTCTACTTTACTGCACCATTGAGTTATATTGTTGCCATATATACTGTAAAACAAGCCTCTCAGATGCATCCTCCCTTTCTTTCTCCTATTAGAACCCATTAAATCCAGTGCTGGGGTGGTGGTCAAGACTGTTTCTGCTACTGGTCATCCTCCCCCTGTTGTATTGATGTCATCGATGAAAGTGCCTCCCATTAAACCAGCTGCTAGCAAAACAACAACAAATGCCCAGCTTGCCCCTCCATCAAATTCAGCTCCTCCATCCTCTGTGGTTAAGTCTGCTTCCCCAGTAACCATTAAACCAATCAGTACCAGCCATCCTGTGGTAATGGTGCCTGTAAGCCCAATTTCTGCTGAACAAGCTCCTTTTCAGACTGTCACTCCTGCTCCAGTCACAACTTCAAAAGCTAAGACCACAATTAACATCAGTGTGAGCAAACCTCAAGCAAACCTGGCACCTCCACCTGTTGTTCCACCCAAACCTCATAGTCCAGTACTCACATTCCCATCCAAGGAACCCCTTTCTCCTGTGCCAACATCTGCTCCTACCATCGGGAAACCTATTTCATCCGTGCCCATGTATGTTCCAACTGGGCCAGTTCGTGCAACCACACCTTCCCAACCTGCTTCAGCTCCAACAACCTCAACTTCCCCAGTCACACCTGTGACTATTTCCCCTCCTGTTGTTGTGGTGCAAAGCTTGACACCAGTTTTACAAGGAGGGGACAGCCGAAGTACCCCATCAGGACGAATCACCCCGTCCGGGCGTGTTACACCTTCAGGACGCAGGACACCACTGGGCAAGCCTGGGGAGGGATCTCTGCGGCAAGGAGTTCCACAGAAACCTTATACTTTTATGGATGAAAAAGCAAGGTACCCACTATTGATGTTTTTATACTATTATACCACCTACAAGAACAGTTATCATCGGCTTATTAAACACTGTCTAGCATTTACTGGTCTTCCCCCTCCGGAAATTATAGCATTTCTTTCTCACACAGAGGTCGGTTTGGTGTGATCCGCGAGTGCCGTGAGAACGCCACAGGCAACCTCTTTATGGCCAAGATTGTACCATATGAGGCAGACAACAAGCAAACAGTGCTTCAGGAGTATGACATCCTCAAGTCCCTTCATCATGACAGGATCATGGCTCTACATGAGGCCTACGTCACACCACGCTACCTGGTGCTCATTTCTGAGTACTGCAGTGGGAAGGAGCTGCTCCACAGCCTCATTGATAGGTGACTAACTGGTTCCTAGTCAGAAAATGATTGGTTCATGCTTTTAGCTTTAAAGACAAATATGAGCAAATGCTTTACTACTTGGAGTGACTTAAGATGTTTTCTGGTGTCCGTCAGGTTTCGTTACTCAGAGGACGATGTGGTGAGTTACATTGTTCAGATTCTTCAGGGTCTGGACTACCTCCATGCTCGCCGCATCCTGCACCTAGATATCAAGCCAGAGAATATCATTGTAACCCACATGAACCTCATCAAGATAATTGACTTTGGAAGTGCTCAGACATACAACCCTCTCTTCCTCAAGCAATTCAACCCTCCTATTGGAACACTGGAGTACATGTGTAAGAGCTCTGTTTGTGTTCAGACAAAATACAAACAATTTACTGCAAATATGTACATACTTATTCAAAATTAAAAGATTAATGCGCTGTATATGCACAATTCACTACACAAATATGATATAATACATATTTGAATTGTAGGGGAGTCATGCGTTTCCATGTGATACAAATACATTTTGTGGCTATAATAATAGCGTGCATTTCCCTTTTTGTCTTTATAGCCCCAGAGATGTTGAAAGGGGATGTTGTAGGCCCTCCAGCTGACATCTGGAGTGTGGGCGTGCTGGCTTTCATCATGTGAGTACTGCTTTCATAGCTTTCCATTTGGAAAGTCCTTTTTAAATAGAAATGGATTTGTGTTCTTCATGAAAAAAGTGGCCTATAACTTAAAATGATGTGATACATTTGAAATGAAACTAGCATTGCTTGAAGGAATAGGTATTGCCTGTAATAGTTTTTAAACAGTTCTTGCCTGATCTGTGCTTGGAATATGTGCTGGGGTTGACTCTCAGCTACTACTATACCAGATTCTTGCTCAGCATCTGTAAAATTGACTGACATAGCCATTATTGTGCTCATTGAAGTCATTTGACTCCAAAAGTTTTGCATGGCTTTCCAACAATTACTTTCTGATTTTTTTCCCATTTGCTGTTTCATTAATTTTGCTAACAAATAAATGAACACACACAGATCATTACTGTACATGTTACCCCCATTTCATGGTGGAAGGCGATAATGGTTGATTTTCAGCCTTTCTGTTATAACATAATGTTGGAGTCAGTCTCCCCACCATCACAGACATCTACACCTCCAGATGCAAGAATAGAGCCACCTGCATCATGAAGGACCCCACTCACCCGGCCAGCACACACATTTTGCCCCACTCTCCTCAGGAAGGAGGTTAAGGAGCATTAAGTGTAGAACCACTAGACTGAGGAACAGCTTCTACCCTGAAGCTGTTAGACTCATGAATCTCTAACCAGAATAATCACTATGGAAAAAAATCACATCATGTTGCTGCTGATCTGTTTCAATGTCGCTGCTGATCTGTTTCAATGTTGATATGTTCATGCGTGCTCATCTGCTCACACAGACTCATGTTCATGTTCGTGCTGATGTTCGACGTAATGTTTTTTATGCTAATAGTGCTTAGTGTATACAAAGTATTTAGTTGATGTTTTTCTTAGTTAATGTCTTAGATCTTATAATTGTTTTTTCTTTTACATTTTATTGTTGGATGTAACTGGGACACTGTGTACATAATTTTGCTCCACCACATGTACCACATGAGGTGCGAATGACGATAAAGAATCTCTGACTCTGACTCTGATAACCCTTTGTCATAGTTAAACTAATGACCAAACAAAATCTTTTAAGGAGTGTTTGTCGGAAACAAGGCACTTTGTCTTTCCTGATTTTCCAGGCTGAGCGGCAGGTCGCCTTTCATGGAAAATGATCCTCAGGAGTCTGAAGCCAGGATCTTGGCAACAAAGTTTGACCTCTCTAAACTCTACCAGAATGTGTCCCAAAGTGCCTCGCTGTTCCTGAAAAAGATCCTCTGTAGCTACCCTTGGTAAGTTGAACACTGTTCTAGTTTATTTATGTTTGCATTTTCAGCATCCTACTAGTAGAAAACAGCAGACCTGACAAATTCAGACATTCTTATAGAAGAATCAAGCAAATAATCTACTCAGATTAGGGACAAATGAAGATCTCATTACTGAACTCTAAAGCAACTCCAAATCAAAACTTTCCTGAAGGAATTAAATAAAAATGCCAGCTATTTTTAGGTATCTTGACTATGAAAGTTTTAAATGAGTGATTATTTGGGTCCTTTCCTTCATCAGGGCTCGCCCATCCGTCAAGGACTGCTTCAGCAACTCCTGGTTACAGGATGCATACCTGATGCGCCTTCGTCGGCAGACTCTCACCTTTACAACAACCCGTCTCAAGGAATTCTTGTCTGAACAGCAGCACAGGCGAGAGGCGGTGGCCACAAAGCACAAAGTCCTCCTTCGGTCCTACCAGAGCTCGCCACAGACTCCCACCAGTCCCACCATGCCAACTGTGCCAATGTCACCCTCCACACCTGTCACCCAGTGAAAACAGGCTTCCAGCCATCAGTTGGTAGGACTTCTTGGGTGAAGCAGGGACAATCTCTAGAGCAAGACAAGACTTTGGACCAGAAGTTGGTCAGTTGTTCATCAAAAGAACTCTATTCACAAAAAACCAGCAGTAATTGTGATCAACACGAGTATCAGACCTGTCCTCTGGTTCCAAACAGAACCCAAGGAACTGTTTTCAGACAAAAAGGAACTTTGACAAAGCGGACTGTATTTTATATAGTATGAACTTTCTTCATACGTGGTAGAATGCTGTCTTCAAGTTAGTACCTCAAGGTTTGCAACTCTGCCTCTGTTTTGGACTTGTTACTTGTTTATCACTTTTATTTTAACAAGAGAAGCAACACCAAAATGTAAACTGTTCTAACAAGCCTAAAGTGGCTTTCTAAGAGCGTTAATGTAAAAAAAAAAATCTATATGTTAAATAAAAGTTCAAATTTTGGATAGGTGAATTGAACTGAAACCACAACCAAGTTCACCACCTAATTCAAAGTAAGTTGGAACAAATTTAATGTTTGTGTTTGGAAAACCTCAGCCAACCTGCTCTCTATCAGTCAGTTATGACAACTAACTGTTTCTCAGATTAACACACCTAAAGTGGTTGATATTGTTCAAGTAATTGTCCTCAGTGCTACATGTGGTCTTTTATACCTGTAGCAGCTCAGCGATGGTCAAGACTGTAGCAGTTCAAGAAAGAATTTCTATTTTCCTCTTGATTTATTTTAAATATATATAAACTAAGTTTACAAGATACATAAGTGGCTTTTTTATAAGGGCTTTTAGAAAAGAATGATTCAGGCATCCCTTTACTCTAATAAGATTGTCTAATTCTTAATAGCAATTTTTGTTTTGCTTTTAGATTTGAGATCAGATCCTTTTTAGAGCTTCCATAAAATACTCTTGTAACGGTAAGGATGTCAGTACAAATATTCCCGTGCAGAGCTCACAGACACTGAATACGCTGCTACAACAAAAGCTAGCAGCTAAGCTAAGCTCTTCCTCCCAAACCAGTGGGAGATATTTAAGCTACACAGACATCAAGAGCTTTACAAGTATTCAGAATCAATATCAGACATGCAGACAGAAGATTCCTATTAAATTCAAATCCAATTTGTTATCCAGGCAATTAGTGAATTACTTTACAAACCCACTGGTAAAGCTTGGGGTGCCACTAAGTGCCCTTAATGAGCAGCAGTCAGCATTTTTTTAAGGTAAAAAGTTGATAAAGATACAAAAAGTTATAATTTTAGTTGTCATTTTCAACTGCCAGAAGCTACTGCTTTCAAATTAGAGACTGAAAATTAGAACATGCTTTGTTTTTCTTTGTGAAATATAGATTTTAAAAATGCATCCTGGAGCATTCAGTTTATATCAAAGTGTATATTCACTTAATTAATCGGTTTATGACTGCATGTTCAGTTAAATCATACACATTTACAAAATAAATTTAACATTTCCTTCTTTTTTATGACCTCAATATAATAATTATTAGGTTAAACAATGAGAAACAACCCTGAAAAATATGTCTTAATCATCTTTAAAAAGAAGCATCCTCAGTAAACATGCAAGGTCACCCAAATATGTTTGTGTCATATTGCAAATTTCACATTGATCCCAACATTAAACTGATCCTAAATCAGATTTGTCATCATTATGGTATTGACAAAGAGGAAAAAAAAGCTACTTTGATGTATACTTCCTTCCTTCTTGAAGGCATTTTTACTTCTCAGAGCAGCATGTGGATCATCAGTTTTTGTCAGACGCATTAACATCAAGCACATATTTGCACATAAGTATAACAAAAAATATAATCGACTTAGTGAATCACAAGTTAGAAGTTGCTGAGTCTTTTGGGGTGATATAAAGCTGCAATGTACAATAAAAAATGTTACTTGATTTAATTAAAATGTGCACTGGCTGACACAAATTGGTTATTCTGTAGAAACTAACTTGTTTATTGTTATTATAACGCTTTTGCTAGATAAATACTTGCCCTTTGTCTGCAGCTCTTTGTGTTTTCAGCAAGGTCAGTTTTTTTTTCTATGCAGACTAACTTATTGTTGAGGGAATTACATTTAGCCTGGTTAAAATCATGCAAGATATGCATGCAAGTGCAAAATTACATTGGATGATACATGCCTGTGCAGTTTATGAAGTTTGTTTACTCATAAAAAAACTGAAATAACAGAAGTTTGTAAGCAAACAACAGGGTTTCTTCACATTTTGTATTAAAACCGGATATTGTTTGTGAATGTATTGCAGTGCCTCAGGAAGGAAAAAAGTTAAATAACTTTTTCTTCATTTTAAATGTGACAGTTTTGCTCGCTTGCACGTGTTTTGCTAAAAATTGTTCATTTATTGAGTGACTGTGTTGGTTACAGCTTTAGCTCTTCTTTGGTGACATTTTCTGGGTCTGGCATGGAATTGGCATGACAGATGTTAAGGTCCTGAAAAATAAAGGAAACAAAATATACTGACCCAGCGTGGCATTTTGTAAGGTTGAAACAAAGTCTGCATTGCTTTACAGTAATAAAATAATATTTGTCAATAACAATTTATGTGGATATTTCAGCTACACATGTGTGGACTGTGCTAGAGTATATAATTTATCCTGATAATATTGCCCAAAGAACACATGGATGCAAAATGCAACTGGACCAGGTTCAAGACCCTGAGGAACACCTTAATTAATGTTAGTATATGAAGATGATGCATCACTGATCCATCCATCCATCCATTTTCTTTACCTGCGTCTTCCTTTTTGGGTCGCGGGGGTCGCCGGTGCCCATGTCCATCTGCGAGAGATGGGGAACACCCTGGACAGGTCTCCAGTCCATCACAGGGCCGCATAGAGACAAACAACCATTCACTCTCTCACTCACACCTAGGGACAATTCAGAGTTACCAATCAGCCTAACATGCTTGTTTTTGGACTGTGGGAAGAAGCCAGAGTACCCGGAGAAAACCCACATGTGCACGGAGAGAACATGCAAACTCCACCAGAAAGGCCCCCTGACCAGGATTTGAACAGGGGCAATCTGCTTACTGAGAGGCAGCAGCTCTGCCAACTGCACCACCGTGCTGCCCATCACTGATGCATACAAACCAAATTTGTCTGCTATGACTTACACCAAAGCAACACAGTGGCACAACTGGTAGAGTAGCTTCCTCTCAGCGAGCAGGTCCCAGGTTCAAATCCTGGTCCGGGTGCCCTTCTGGGTGGAATTTGCATGTTCTCTCCGTGCATGTGTGGGTTTTCTTCGGGTACTCCGGTTTCCTCACACAGACCAAAAACATGCATGTTAGGCTGATTGGTAAATCTAAATTGTCCTTAGGTGTGAGTGAGAAAGTGAATGGTTGTTTGTCTCGTTTGTCTCTGTGGCCCTCTTGATGGACTTGCAACCCGTCCAGGGTGTACCCCGCCCCTCGCACAATGATTGCTGGACATGGGCACCGGCGACCCCCGTGACCCAATATGGTAGAATAGGCTAAAATATAATGGATGGATGAATAGATGACTTACACCAATCTAAAGCCATAACTTTGATTAAAATATTATCTTCAAGTCTCTATAAAATGTGTACATAGACATGTCTGACCAAAACCTAACACCTTTTATCATGCTAAGAACACCATCTCCACTGCAAAGCATGGTGGTGGCAGTATCAGTCTGAGGGGATGATTTTCATCAGCAGAAACTTGGCTGTCAATCAAACACACTGCTAAAGTAATACTCCAGTGGTTTAGAGTTCATTTGAGTTAGGGTATACAGTACATGCACTTTGGGGGATTTTAAGAGAAAACCACAGATCATATTGCAGTGAGAGACACTGTGGGTAACAGACATTTTGATCCGTGATGACTCAAAAAGATGGGTCAAAAGTTAGTGTGGCATCATCACACACCATTTATGTGGTAAAATAATTAAATAATTAAACATAAACTAATTATGTAAAAAAAAAGTTTAAATGACAATTCATATATGTAATGTCAAGCTTTCTGTTTAAACTTGTGGTAAATTGATATAATGTATTCTAGCTATAGAGCTTCAAAGGGAGCTGTGTTTTCTGACACAATCTGTCTATTTGTCTGTTTTCTTGTTTTTATTTCTTTTTCTGATCCTTGTGTTTGATTCTGTTCGCTGCCATTCTTCACCCTCTCTTCAGCCTGTCTCAGCCACTCATCACTCACACCAGTTGCTAATCAGTAATCATTCCAGGTGCACTAATCTCTCACTCTACCTCTGCCTTATTTAAACCCCACGTGTTCACTGCTCATTCTTCAGCTCATTGCTCTGTAAATCCTACAGATCATCTTGTCTGTCTTATCCCTGTTCACTCCATGATTCTGTGTATGTTTTGCTGCCACGTCAGCTTTTGGTGTTGTTTTATTTAATCCCTTCTCTCCTTATTCGCCTGCACATGGATCTAAACAGAGACACAGTATTTTCTTCCATGTTTATTCAAAGTTCCTGTCGTTGTGCATGATATCTTTTGCAGTTTTATGCAAATTTTGTCTATGTTGTACGGTGTGCCGCTAACAGAAGTCATAGCACACTTTAAGTGATCAAGCCACACATTTTAACAATTTCTTTTTTTGTGTGAGTGTGAGCAGATTAGCAAGTCAGACAATAGGAAATTGAAGATCATTGAATAAATGGTCCTGTCATCCCACTGGAACTGGTAAATGGACTGTACTTGTACTTTCTATCTGATTAAGATACTCAAAGCGCTTTACAACACAATCTGTGCCCTCATTTATCCATTTGTACAGCACTCTACTATATCTCTATAAAGCTAATTGAACAAATCATTCTAAAGAGACTAATCAGTGCTTTAGTACATTCATACACCGATGGGACACGCATCAGAGGCAACGAGGGGTTCAGTGTCTTGCCCAGGGACACTTCGGCATGTGACTACTGGTGGATTCAAACCCCCAATGCTTGCATTAGAGGACAACTGCTCTAACCACTCTGCCACAGATGCCCACTGGAAGTAAACGCAACCTTTATTTTGGTGTTGTAACCCAGTTGCATTTTAACCAAAGCATATTGCATAAAATGTATTAAATTTTCCAACACACATCTCAACTGTAATACAGCCTCCAGTCACAAGGTGACAGTACTGTCTAACCTCTTTCCAGCATACGCTCAAGTTAAACACACCAATGTGTCCTGAGGCCAAAGTGTGGCTCCAGTCCAAAAGAGAGGGGCCACAAAGGGAGCTGAGATTCACCTTTCTGCAGCTATCAATGACATCAGGAAACCAGGAAATCAGTTGAACCTACTTTAAATATATTATATCATAGCATGATTTATTTATTTATTTACCATTAAACAAATTGTTATACAGCATCCAGTCACTGGATGCTGTGATGTTGCCTACCAGATTGATTCTTTCATTGATTCAGACAAACCTGATCTGACAGAAGTGCAGCTTTGCCTCTGTGAATCAGCCTGGAGGAGTGCGAGGTCTGTCAAGACTATTAGAACTATATCAGGTGTCTGAGTGGCAGAACTCCGGCCGTAGGACATCTTCGTTCATTCTGCATCTGGATAGGAATAGAAGCAGCCAAGCACAGGGTGGCCTGCATTGCACGAAAGGGTCCCAGATAAGAACGCTTTCAGCTATGTAAGCTAAAACTTGCTGATGTGGCGTAAGGTCATTGGTGCCTCCTGGAAATGCTGTAACCTCATTATCAGTCTGAGATTCTTGGACAGGAACATGTGAGGATTGTTGCCGTAGAGTTTCCTTGTTACTTGTCTGCTACCTAGTTATAGTACACGTGAATAATTTAGAGGTGATGAGTGAATGTGGTGCAGCTTGGTACATACTGTAATTGTAAATGAACATTTAAAAAGACCTGTTATTTGGGATATGGACAATTTTACTGCTCTTTAAATATGATTCCAGGGGATGGGATTGACGTGAAGTGCTGAACAAGCATGAAATTCTTTACAAATGAGTCACCTGAAGATCAGGGTACCTTTTCATTCATCTGGCCAGAAGCTGATCACTGTATTTCAGCTCAACAGGTTTTCTTAAGCAAGACTTTACTATGGATTGGTTGTATTTAAAGCTTTACAATGCATTTCGTGGTCTTTCAGATGTCAATACATGCCACGTGGAAGAGATCTGGACAAGACTAGTACAAGTTTCTGATAGGTATGTGTCAAAAGAACTCTGTCTTATTTTGCACAGC